ACGGAAAATTAACTAACGAACAGAGATGTAACATACACAGACAAACGCATATAGCTTTAAATATGCCATTACATATATACAAGCAATTTTATTTGAAGTTTATATTTCCTTGAGTTTATTCACTGTTACGTAATTATGAAATTACGCTATTTCGCTGAGAGTAATATTAGAAAAAATGTTCACATATATCAGTTTGTGAATTTCGTTTCAAATTAGGGTTAGCTCCACAGTGCACTTATCATCTCCAGGATTGCCTTTGCAACTGAAGAAAGATTCTGGGACAAAGGAAGTTGTTGATACAAAATAAGATTAATTTTTTTTGTAGTCTATGATTTACTAGTTATCTTCATACTAACAGAACAATACCAAATTTAAATGTAACTATTTTCCATTTAAATTTGGAACTCTTCCATTAGCGTGGATTTAAACTTTATTGTAAATTACTTTACGAGATATTGTGTATTTATCTATTTCTTTATCATTATTTTATCTTAAGGAAAAATGTATTTATTCCTAAAATTATTTTAAATCAAGTCCGGTACTGGAACTGTTTTTCAAAATTTAGTTCAACTTAATCTAGCAGTGGTTATAGTTAATAAATTCACAATTACGTTTACAATGTATATATTTGTAAAGAAAGATAAAGGTGTTAAATATTTTCCACCTGAATAGCGCAGACTCACTAAATGGTCAGGTCATAATTTTGAGCTTATTGCCAGTACCCACTGCCTATATAGCTATTTTTAACTGAATAGCAGGACTGACTGTTACTATTAAATAACTGAAAGTGTAGAGCATGTTTAGCAGTAAATCACATCTTTTAACCACTCCAAATAAAGAGTTAGTTGTAAATTGGTGACCATAATTTTGTATATTTTTGGCAACAGTTTTCTATAGTTAGCTTTATTATAAAAAATTAAAATATTAACCGGGTTAAAAATAGAGGATCTGCATATATTAAAATAAATTATATAAAAATATTCTGTATTAAGTGTTACATCTGTGTACCTAAAAACTGCCCAATTTTACACTTTCCATTCAGTAACTCCAGTTTTATCTATTCTATTTTTGCTACTTATATAAAGTGAGAAACATTTGAAAGTTAACATTTTCCAACACCGAAACTGCATTTTGGATATAGATTTCCCAGTTGTGCTGCTCTCTATATGCACATTTTTCACTCACACATTAGCCTTTAGATTCCCTCCTAAAATCACGTTTCCACTTCATATTGTTGCATGCAAATGAACATGTGATAACCCTTCAATAATAGGAGTGCAACACACCCTCCCAGTACAACTAACTCTGTCTATACTGATTGTTCAATTATCACTTTGAGATTAGGCAAGAAAAGATTCACCAGAAGTGGGAAGGATGGATGGGAATTGTAAGCAGAGATAAGTATCTATTGGAAATACATTTCAGTGTTGGAAAAGCGTGATCAGGATAAAGAAAAATTGATGGCATAGACATCAGAACATAGATAACTACAGGGAAAAAGGAGGAGAAAATAGATTTCAAGGGAGAAATGGTAAACAGAGGAACATTAAGGGCATGGAGAACAACATTCAGGTCCTAATTGGGAAGGATAGGGAGGATGAAAATGGTGAAAGGAATGAAAGAGCATAATGAGGACTGGGAAGGAGAAAACTTGATGGTAAAAGAAAAACCAGAAAGTATTAGAAATCAGTATGCAGGGAAGGAGGACAAGGTATCCTGAGAGGGTTTCTATTTATCATGCAGAGTCTACTGCAAATGGTGCATGACCCAAGGAGATAAGAGATTCCATAAAAGCCCAAGTCCCTTAAAGAAAGGAAACTTCCTACACAGGAAGAGAAGGAGAGGACAGAGCAGTGGAAAACAATCACTCCATCTTCCACAAATGAAGTAAAGAAGGCTGACCCTGCTGACATAAGAACTGAAGAACACACCCAAATGAACCACATAAGGAGTGGATGTGAGTTGATAATTCTCCAGTTTTACTAACCAACTAAGGAGTATGGTTGTAAAAGACCTTTTGGAACAGAGCTAGTTGTCCATATAGTAGTGGAACTTCAATTTGAAGCCACAAGTGTGACAAGCAAAAATACAAACTATTCAGTAATAAACATAAGGGCCAATCCAAGGCCAAAATGTAGAGCATGGAACTGATAAACCTAACTTTGATGAATAAACCAAATGGAAATGTGAAAATAAGCATCTGAGATGATCGTCTTGGTTACCCAAAATCCCATAGCTAAAGGGCACCAGAGGTAAATTGAGGTAGGTTGAGAAACCTACTGAAACATGAAAGATCTAGAACCAGATGCCAATCCTGGTTTTTTTGGGGAACAACAAACAGAAAGAAAGAAAATCCTGGAGAATGATGAGAAACCTATTCAATAGTGTTATTGGACAATAGGTCTGATGCTGCTTCTGACAGATACTGGTGAGAAACTGGATCCCTTGGAGGAGAGAAAGTAACAGAAACAGGTGACAAGGGAAAAGGAGTGGAAAAACAAAGGGTAAGGCCCTCTAACAAAACTGGCAACCCCCAACAATTGGCATCAAACAGACTCCATAGATCTTCAAACCAAACTAAACAAGTCCCCACTGTCTCCGAGTCTAGAAGATACACACTTCCAAGGCAGACAGTGCTGAAGTCTATGAATAGTGAAATAACAGATGAAAGCAGAAAAAAGGAGGGGGCCAGGGAAAGAAGAGGAAGCAGGATGATGGGAGACAGAAATTGGTAAAGAAGGAGAGAAACAGGAAACAAGTTAGAATAAGGAAGAATGTTGGTATGTGGCCTCAACACATAACTTCAGAGAATCAGGTACTCCACTAAAAACACTGGTGGAGGAAGGTAGCTAGACAAAGTTCTATGAGATAAGAGGGAAGCTAGTGCACTTGAGTAGAAAGGGTTACCCGCTCCGACAAAACCTAGAAAGAGATCAACCAAGTATGATGTGATAAGGTCAAGAAAAATAAAATCACCAAATGAGAGAAGATGAATGAATATACCCTCAGGGGAACGGTGGATTGTCTTGGAAAGAAAAAAAAAATGGAGGAAGATAGTGTAAAAAGGTATTGAGTGAAAATTTAACCTGAGAAAGTCAAACAGAAGATAGAGAATCTGGTCCACAAGTCTGAAGAAGAGACTTGAGAGTTTCAGAATCCAAGAAGGAGAATGTATATTGATGTTACGCCCAGACACATGTGGGAACAAGGTAAGAAGGACGATTCATGCATGCACCTGAAAAAAGTTGAGAAAAGTCAGAAGCATGGAAGGAATCAAGGAGGGAGAGAAGAAAAAGTAATATACCTGAGAAACCACATCCCAAAATTATGAAAAAGGCATAGGTAGATCCATGACTGTATGGGTAGAAGATTTGGCAAAGGTAGCCCGTGGGAAAAAAATGTCAAAATCCTTTTTGCACAAATGGGAAACATAGGAGGAGGTATACAAGGCTCAGAAGAAGGTTCAGGCTACGTGAAAGACTCCATTTCCCATCGCACAATAGCCATCACTTCCTCAACAGATAAAGACAAACCTGATGCCATTTTAGTTGTTAGTCTAGCATGAACAATGTCTTATTGTTCCACACGAGACAAACTGGAAGTTACCTTCTCTTGTGTCGAAATAATAGGCTACAAAATCTGCAGGTGCAGAAATGTTGGAAAACAGAAATCTAAATTTAATATTTCCAGAACAATTAGTGGTTTTGTAGATACTTTCACCAAGAAAAGTGCCTATATTTCTAAAGCTAACGAGCTAAAAACGAAAGATATGTCTTTACAAATGATTGCCAAACTGAGAAGTTGCATTAGGAAGGTGTGTCTCAATCCTGTTGGTGGGGGCTGTCACATGCTCACATGCATGCAACAGTGTGATGAGTAAACATCTCATTTTAGTTGGGAGTCTCAAGGCTAGTGGCAAGTAAAAAATTTTCACATATAGGGGAATCACTGAATCAGGAAAGCTATACGTGAGAGGAGGTTATGTATCATATTGGAATATTCTTGAAATTAAGAAACACTGTATCAATTAACAGTATACCAGACCAGCATTGCTCAGTAACATGTAACATACTCTACACATGTTAACAGAAGAAAGAAGTTGAAACAAAGTTGAGCCATCAATAACAATTTTGTACTTCAACTTTTAAATTGTTCTCAGATACTTTTTATTGTTTTACTGATAAATAAAAGGACACTATAAAACATTGGAAAAAGTAATACAAACAGAGATGAGGACACACACTTAACTTAATCAACGTGATCATAATATTATGCTGTATTACTCATTGATATTCTAGTACAACAATGCTGCTAATGCTCTGAAGAAACCAAAGTTTCATCATCATCTGAAAAGATATCACTTCCTGTCATACGTGCTTTTATTTTAGCTTCTTCTGCTGTCATTTTTTCCTCTTCAGATGGTGCTAAAGGATTACCAGCATTATCCAGTTTCCCTGCCTCATAGTCATCAATGATTTTCTTAGAATAGATGACATTGAACAAGTCTCTAGCAGTGAATTCTCCTTGAGTTACATCTGGTGCTTGATAAGAAATATATGGCTTAAGCTAGAAGGAGAAAGAAAGAAATTAAGAAATAAAGCTATTTCTCTACATAATAGCTTTGTAATAAAAATACGATATTTTGTAAGCTGTATTCAACATTGAACATGCTTTCACAGACTTGTTTTATAGATAAATATTTTGTTTTCATTTTATACCAATCTGTGCCACTATTCTTAGTTATACAGCTCTGCTAAGACTTATTATTTTCTGTTTTATTTGTATAATTCAAGGACATTATTAGTATATTCATAAACTGTACTTCCAAACACACAGTTTTTTGTCAATAATGATAAAAAAGTCTTAAAAATTTCTCAAAGGTCAATTTTAAATGCCAACCTCAGCACTTTGTTCAAGATTTGATATTCCTTTTGACCAGTTACTTCTAAGGAGCAAGGAACACAACTACAGACACTACTTGTTTTCTGCTATACATGTAAAAGGAATATTTAGTGTGAGTTAAGTTAGTTATTTTAGATATATGATTGTAAATTAGAAAGATGTTCCTTAACAGTGAAATTAAAATGTAGTTGGCCAGCTACATGACACTCAACTCCCCTTATTTGTACTTAGATGGTTTTGTACATAACTGTAAATTGTCTAACATTTTTTTTTCTTTCTTACAAGTTCTAAGCAAAGCAAGTGCAAGTCTTATATGCAAAGATTCAAACACAATTCTGCTAACTGGGGTAGTAAATGTGATTTAATTTTAATATATCTTGTATAACAGAGTTACTTGAAAATGAGATTCAAATGAGCTACCTCAACCTTTTTATATATTTTTTGTTACATACAGCAAACTGAATCATTTCAATGCACCAAAATTTACCAAAAAATTTGTGACAGTATCTGCAGTTTTAATCTAAGCAAATTAGCAATTTAAACTAATTTTATTTTAATCCTTTACCTCACAGTTGGTCAAGTCAGGTACGATAAGTTCTGGTATCATTTCTGGATACTGTTTAAATGCCATTTCATGTTTGGAACCAGTCATCCGAACTCCTCGATCTAAGAAAAAACAACAGATATTCAGATATTAAACAAAAATTTACTTTTTCATACATCTCTACTGTAATTTAACAATTCAGACTTTATGGCGTGTTCTGTGTTTGAAGGTTTGGCATTTTTTAGTAGGATTTTGGACTCTATCATTAAAAATCATTTGGAAAAATATCTAAAACTTATAATTTAAGAACATAAACAGTAAACTGAAAGCAACCACCTAACTCACTAATATTAGAATGAAGAACAAAGAACCTTCAACCCAACAATATGTATCCTATTCTATTTGCATACCTCACAAAAAGAATACAATCCAATTTATCAAAAGATACATATTACAATATCATGTCAACTATTTCACCTGTTAAAAAAATCTATTCAAGTAATAATTTTTTGTCAAGGTTTCATTTCTGCTATTATTACTCATATTATGCAAGTCAATAATTCAACATGAGTCTAGCTTTCAGAAAAGGTTTCCTACAGGTAAACAGTCTGTGTTTCCTACAGGTAAACAGTCTGTGTCTCCTACAGGTAAACAGTCTGTGTCTCCTACAGGTAAACAGTCTGTGTCTCCTACAGGTAAACAGTCTGTGTCTCCTACAGGTAAACAGTCTGTGTCTCCTACAGGTAAACAGTCTGTGTTTCCTACAGGTAAACAGTATGTGTCTCCTACAGGTAAACAGTCTGTGTCTCCTACAGGTAAACAGTCTGTGTTTCCTACAGGTAAACAGTCTGTGTTTCCTACAGGTAAACAGTCTGTGTTTCCTACAGGTAAACAATCTGTGTCTCCAACAGTTTTAATACATGAATTATAATTACCATTCTAAGTTACAGTAAAAAAAATTGCAATTATTTATTCCTGTTTTATAATTTTAAGTCTTCCCAAGAGACATCATCCCGGAAGGAATTCTCTGCATCTTTCGAAGAAATTAAAATCTTTTTTACACAAAAAACAAAACAACTAATGCAGTCTGTTTTACATAAGGTATGAACCATTATATATATATATATATATAATTTCTTTTAAGCTTAACATGTTTATAAGCAGTTATCTCACTTAACACATGTTTATAACCAGTTATCTCACTTAACACATGTTTATAACCAGTTATCTCTAGTTACCATATCCACTCTGCTAAAGAATTCAAATATTTCTTGCAAGTAATACCTACATTAGATCATACCATTAACTAAAACTGGATAATCAGTAAATTTGCTAACTGAATATCCTCATACGAGACTTGGATGGCTGGAATAGTTGAAAATGTTAATAACTTTGATTAGTTGGTTATTTTCACGAGTTCTGACACAAACTGATTAAGCCAGACGTCTGAATTAATCAGAAATAACACTGGGAAATTGTAAGAGCAATATTTTGATCACTTTGATAGTTGGAAAAACCAAAAACACTAAATTGATTGGTTGGTTACTTTCCTTGACACTAAGAGATGTAATCTATTATATTGATTAACCAATTTAATTGTCCAGTTCTACCAACAATATTCTACTTACACAAGTCACTTTTTCAAAGTTTCTGCATCCCAAGTACAATTTATACTCTCAACATTGAAGTATTAACATTGTAGCAACGTTTCATCTTATTACTAGCTAATTTAAATGTTTCCTAGATAAAGTCACGTATGACTTCAGTGGCATTCCTTAGTCTCTGTATATCCCGAGTAAAACTCTACAGATTGATTATCCCCAGGATGCGAGTAAAGAAGATCCAATGTTACATCAAACTCTCTCTCCCACACATCAGTGATGATGCTGTGTTGCCTGTGGTTTCAAGTACTGTTATTTGATAACACATAAGTAGCAGTGGATGATCCTGATCGCATGTTTTCTGATGTTCATCCACACAATTGAGATACAACTGAACATTTTTAAATCAAAAGGTTAGTAGACTATTATCCTGGTGTTTTTGACTTCAAGGATTTAACACACTTCTCCAAATATGGCTGATTCAGAGTTTCGTCCCTGATTTGAGTAAGTTCATTAGGCACACCAAATCTTGAAACAAATTCTTGTAATGATGGAAATGACTTAGGGCTTGAACATCAGTTAGTAGCTGTTTTGAATTGTGAAATACCTTCTTTCTGCACTGTTCATTACTTTTCTATAGTAAGAAATCACACATTCTCTTCTATTTTACATTGCTTCAATAGCAAGTTCACCAGTATCTTTTATGTGTATGAATGATCTTGAAGAGTTGAATTTGCTAATACAGGAGTAGTGGTTAATCAGTTTGTTTAATTCTTGTTCACAGTCAGCAGTCAAACAAAACTTATTCAATTTTTCAAGTAATTTGTGTGGAGGATGAACTATGCCAGAGAATGATTTTACAAAATGATGATTGTACGAGTAAAGTCCAAGAAATCTCTTACTTCCTGCACATTCTTTGATGTTAGCCAATTCAAAACAGATTCAAGCTTGAATTGGTCTGTAGACTCTTTGTCCCAAGAATCTTATCTGTTGATGGAAGAGTTGATACTTTATTTTGATATTCAGCTTATGGTTATCTTTCCTCAAATGATCCAGAACTTTCCTTAGCCTATCATAAACATTATCAAAGATCTTCCCATGTGTGATATGTCATTGAATCAGATGAGTACAAAATTTCAGGGTAGTTTAGAGACAAAACACTCCATTAGTTGTTGAAATGTAGTAGAGGCATAATACAAATGGTAACATGACAACTTGCTATAATATATTTCCCACACTAAAGGCTGTTCTCTCTCCATTTGCTTCACCAACTTGCTCTTGTCAATATTCACTCTTCAGATCCAATATTGAAAACCATTTTAATCCAGATAAAGCATCCAAAGTAGAGTCAATCTTTGGCAATGAGTAAGCATCCTTCCTTGTGATAATTTTCACCTTCTGGTAGTCCCTACCTTGTTGATTCATCCTTCTTCTTCACAAGTATGATAGATGATGTCCAAGGACTAGTACTTGATTCTATTTGTCCATGTTTCTTTATGGCTTCTATCTGACTAACTGGGGCTACATTTTTAGTATCAATCATATAAGATATTTTCTTATTTGTCCTAAATCATGATGTCCACTTGAGAAGGTATCTTTATATCCTGGGAACAAGTCATGTAACTGATGGCATTGATCACTTTTAAGACCTCCACAACTCCAACCACAGAGCTCTTGTGAGTTAGATGGGGCTACATTTTAGTATCAATCATATAAGATAATTTCTTATTTGTCCTAAATCATGATGTCCACTTGAGAAGGTATCTTTATATTCTGGGAACAAGTCATGTAACTGATGGCATTGATCACCTTTAAGATCTCCATAACTCCAGCCACAGAGCTCTTGTGAGTGAGATGGTAAGCTGTTCTTATATGAAGAATTGACTTCCTGCATCTTATCTCCAAGGTGACCACTTTTAATCGCTTTTAATGTGGAAGTACTACCCATACAGCTTCACATCTTACAATGATGTTCCATCCAGACTTAACTCAAATTTGATGGTTTATTTTCATGTCTCTTTTAATGACATCTTTATTCTTCAGATCTACATTCTGGAATGTTTGGTTCTATTACATTACAGTCACTAGATGTAATATATTTATAAGTATTGGTATGAGTATTTCACTGCCCTCTGAGTTGTCTTAGGAAGTTCAACCACTAAAGTATTAATTTAAATGAAAGGGATTTCCTTGTCATAGTCCTGGTGTAAGATGGGAGAGGTACTGGTATACCTGGAATCCACAATGTTCTGATTAGGAGACCTTCAAAAGCAGCATTCTTTTCCACTCAGTTTTGCTAATCTTGTCATGTGATGAATTACAAATGTAAAATGTAATTACTGTTCTTCAATAAATAATAACAGCATCAATAAGTTTATAGTTGTAAACGTTAATCACTTTATTAAGGTAACAAAACAAAAACACAACACAATTTATTTCTATATTTTACTTAATATCGCATAGGATAATGTTAAAACATACTTAATGCTTGATTACTTATAAAAAGGTTGTGATTGCAATATAGCCTTCAGGAGGACAGGGAAAAAAAATGTTTATTCAAAGAAATCTTTGTTGCATTGGAAGTATGTGATTGTAGACAAACTGTTGTTAATTCCATAATAGCTTCAATCCTTATGTTAATTCCCTCTTAAATCTGTCCATTGTTTTTGCAGTTAGAACATCAGCGAACAAGTCAATGACATTACAATTGATAAAGATACCCTGAATTTGATATGTTGGGCTTCAATTTGTTTGCCAAAATATTTCATGTTGTGGACATGATGTTCAGTATCACTTGAAAGTAGTGGCAGGATAAGTGCCAAAAAAGTTCACTAAGTGTCAACAAGGTGAGTTTCTGCCAATAGAAATCAGATAATTGCACAACAGCGTGGAGATCCAAAAGGGATGCATTTTGACAACTTCTTATATTTGGTAATGAATGCATTAGTGCTATCCAACTACTAATAGAGCTGGGCGATTGGTGGTATTTGCTCATCAATTAATTGATGGATCATTAATTGATTATATTGATTAATACATACCCTCTATAACCTCCATCCCCCACACCAGAATAAACAAGAAATATATAAACATAGGAATAATATTTAGTAAAGATTTGATTCATCAGAATATTTTGTAATCACTTGTCATACTCTCTAAACAAACTTATCTGATTGATGACAAGTTTTTTATTTATTGAACATAATAAAAAACAATGCATGTTTACAAACATTGCAACTGAATAAAATCATAGCAATTTTAAACAAAAAACCAAACATCAACAACATACCTTTATTAAGCCTTTAGTAATCTCGAGTCATGCATCTTCATTTCATAGTCTAATCTGTATATTCCCGTGTCTAAGAAAACTACTTATGATGACAAAACCTTTTCTAAACATTTGTTAATGTGTTAAACTTCTAATCATTTTCTTTCAACCCATCTCTAAACTGTATAAGCCCACCTTATGTCAAGTTTTCTGGTGTATTCTCATTGAACAAACTTTCTATAGCTTTCAGATA